TATATAATATATATANATACATATATATATATATATATATATATATATATATATATATAATTTCAAATTTTATAAATTTATAATATTCTGTGCAAAATTTTAAATTTATATTTTTTTTATAAGATTAATATTAAATTTTATAGAATTATATTCTTTTAGTTGGTATTTTGGTGCAATGTCACGACAAGATGCCTCGGATTTACTCATGGGTGAGAAAGAAGGTGGCGTATTCTTAGTACGTGACAGCACATCGATACAAGGAGATTTTGTTCTATGTGTACGAGAAGACAGCAAGGTTAGCCATTATATTATAAATAAAATTCAACAGGGTGACCAAATACGTTATCGGATTGGAGATCAAACATTTCCTGATATTCCCAACCTTTTGGCTTTTTACAAATTACATTATTTGGACACAACACCACTGATCAGGCCTGCACCTAAAAGAACACAGAGGGTAGTAGCAAAGTATGATTTTGAGGGTAATGATCCTGATGATTTACCTTTTAGAAAAGGTTGGTATTTGAAATATTTAAATACTATTATTAAATAATATTTAAATTTTTTTTTTTACTTTGAATTTAAATTTATATATGATATTTTTGTATTAGTATATTATTAATAATTCAATTAAATTATATAAATATAAAAATTTCTTTTAGGAGAAATTCTTACAATTATATCAAAAGATGAAGAACAATGGTGGACTGCTAGAAATGCTCTTGGTCAAACTGGTTCAGTTCCAGTTCCATATGTTCAAAAGTATGAAGAAGACAATCACTCTGTGATTGAAAATAATTCACGTCCAGAAAGTGGAGGAAGTTCAACTATAAATTCTAATTCAGTTCAAATTTCTGCTTCCCAAATGTCTTATCCAGAAAGTGGACAAGGGACCACTCGTAGATCAAATATTCAGAGAACATTACCTGCTTTTGCAAAAGTAAAACAAGCAAGAGTACCAAATGCATATGATAAAACTGCTCTAAAATTAGAAGTTGGAGATGTGATAAAAGTTACAAAGACTAATATAAATGGTCAATGGGAAGGTGAATTGCATGGCAAGGTTGGCCATTTTCCATTCACACATGTTGAATTTGTAGATAATGAGACTGGAGAAGACAATCAGGAAATTTAACGGAAGTCTTCCATTGAATAAAGAAGTTAATTTGGATAGTTTTATATTGGCAGTTTAAGTTCATATTAGCAAGTATTCTGTGTATTGGTACATAAAATCATCTCATTTTTAAATTTTTTATATAATTTGAAATTTCAAGTATTTTGTAATACAATTTTATATATTAAGTGTTAATTATATAATATTGCACAAAATTTAAATGAATATTTTTATAAATTGTTTTACTTTTCTAGTCATAAAGTATCAAATAATTGTAAATGATTACTAATTAATATTGATTTTGTCAGAAGTTATACAAATTTTCTGGTTTTAATTTTTGTACCGATACATATTGTACTGCTTAGCCATAGGTTGTGCCACAGATGGAACAACATTTTCTACTAGATATATTAAATGATGGAACTGTTAATTATATTATAATTGTAATTTACACAATTTACATAAATTACATAAATTATATATTACTATGTAATTGTATAAGTTTCGATTGCTGAGTAATTTTTTTTAAGAGAGCAGAAACTGTGAATTTATGTTTATGAGTGAATGGTATAATATTTTCATGATTGTAAGTTACAAAAATTACTTGTTAATATGTAATTATAAAAACTGCAAAAATAATTAGTTTTGTAAAAATAGTAGCTA